ATCATCGTCTTATCAAGTGAGTGTGTAGTTACTTTCTTCTAACACATAAATACAAAGTATCTCTATAAAATACGTGCTATGTGTTTATACGTTATGTGTTATTTGAAATGAGTATTGATCGAATGTTTTATACATGTTTTATGTTGTATATATATATATATATATATATATATATATATATATATATATATATATATATATATATATATATAGATATACAAAGATGTTGGGTAGAACATGGGTAGATAGTGGATGTGTGATGAAATAAAATGATGAGAGGCCTCGATGTTGTTGTTGATCTAGTCATCTAGCAGAGTATGGATGACGACCACGGACTCTTTCTAGACAGTCCAGTGGAACGCTAGCAGGCCCATAACCTGTATGTGTTGTGAACGATGTGTTCACCGGTGTACTCTATCCCCCTCATGGTTGCCTTTAGGACATTTACTGTGGAGGAAACCCCTTCGCAGTAATGTCCATCCCGATGAAAATCCTAGATTAGGTAACTGGTAATAGATGTTGTTGTAGGGACGTAAAGTGAGGATAACGGGAATGGGTAATCGGGTTATTGTTGGTTGATGAACTAAATATAATTATTTATTGTGGGTTGAAAACCCTATATGCTCACCAGGCTCCCAAGCCTGACCCACTCAGTTTTTCTTTGTATTACAGGTAGTGGCACGAGAGCATAAGTTGGATGACATTGTCAAGATATTTTTGGATTATAGACCAGTAGTTATGTATAACTGTTGTAAGGTCTATTTTGTATTGTTTATGCTTTTGGTCTGTATCGGAACATGACATCCCGAGATTTTGTTATATAATGAAAATACATTTCTTTATGAAATGCTTTGATAAATTCTTATCATGTTTTGTTTTGGGAACAAATTCCGTAACTCTTTTAATCAAAGGATTACTATGAATATATCTTAAAAAACATAAATAAAATCGGTCTTTTCTGGCCGTGATTTTGGGGATGTCACATTTACCATTATACCCTTTTTTTTAGTTTATTTAATGATTTATTATTCCTGAATTCTCATTGGTGCATTTAGGCACACACTATTTGCTAGAAACATTTGAACCTATGTCTCTCCCTCTCTCTCTTTCTATGTATATATATATATATATATATATATATATATATAATATATATATATATATATATATATATATATATATAAGCATTGGATTGCAACTAAGATGCTCTTGCAACCTTTTGAGGAAACCGATTACCATGTGTAGGTATAGTGTATAATTAGATATATATATATTTAATTTTTTTATATTTAATATTCTTTATTGAATAATATATTTATTAAAAACTTATAAATTTTTTATTTCATTTCATGGTTTTTATTTCTCTATTAAATAGAGTATAGTATTTATATATTTTGATACATATTTGAAAGTCTTATATAAAATGTATTGTTGGTTGTGTTAGGTTGTTGATAAATGTTAAGAAATTGAATTTGGTTGGTTGTATCTATGGATGATAGAGAAAATACTTTTTAATGAGAAATAGGGTGTGACTGGTTGCTTGTTAAACATAGTTTAAGGTGTTTTTTATTAAGAAATTATTTTATCGTTTTTTGTTGAAAATAATTTATAACTATGATTTATGAAAATAGTAAAGGATCTAAAAGGAGTCTATATTTAAGGAGTATGGTAGTATGGTTTGAAACTAAGTTGAGCTCGGCCTCCTAGTTCCATTGTAAGTTGGATGAATCGAGTCACATATGCTTCAATCATGAGATTGACCATATATATCATGTACGAGCCTTGATATGTCGTATTGCTTTGAGCATGACGAACTGATATCAAGACAATCTTGACAAGGTCCAAAGGATGGTAGTTAATGGCAATCTAAAGCGTTTGAGTATAGGTCAACACTTCATTTTCATTTTTTTTTGTTATCTCCCAAACTACACAGTCCGCTCAGCCATTCCCTCCACCTATTAAACCGTCTTCCGCCTCCCCAATTCATATTATTCCCATTTTGCCCTCTAAACGTACTATGAATTTAGCTATATCACCTCCAAACTATTATTTTTTCCTTTCCGTCTACCTAACTACTACTTTTTCAACATGTTTAGTGTTCCAAACTCACATGAAACGACACATTTCAAAGTATATCATTAACCCGATACCATAATAAACGAGTTGTCACGACATGACATGTTTATTGATTAGAGTCAAACTCTTAACCCATTTACTGTTACGACACTCGTAACATGACACAAACCAAATACGACATAACACGTTTGTCAGCTCTAATGACATTGATAATTAAAGTATGCTCAACTAAAAGATCATATACTTTGACTATTTTTTTGGATTAAATTTTAATTTTATTTTATTTATTTATTTTTAAAGGACCTTGTATTTTTTCGATTTGTTTTTTAGCAGATTCATGGGTAATCTTTCAGTTTTAGACAAAAAGAACCTTAATTTGTTTTTTTTTTCCAAAAAATACCCTATCCTTGACAAAGTTTTGTAAAAAAAAAAACTAAGAGCTATTCACAAAGAAATTTGAAAAAAAAAATAATTAGAGCTATACGGAAAGAAAAGTAATCCAACGGTTTCTTTGGAAAAAAAAGATTGAGGTTTTTTTTTTTTAAAAAAAAAGTTATTATTGTTTTTATTTATAACTTACTAATACGATCAAATTGAAAAATACAAGGTTTTTTTTTTCTTTTAAATACATGGTGATATCATATAAAATTATAAACCCAAATAAACTACTTTCTCGCTCCATTATTTCTCACTTCTCTCTCCACTTTCAGGGGTGATTGGAATTTCTTTTTAAAACCAAAAGTCATTTTTATAAAAGTTCTTTTAAAGAGTAAAAGTTAAAAATTGGTTTTAAAAAATGTTTGAATGAAATTTCTTGACTTTTGAATGCTTTTTACCTTTTAAAAGGCCAAAAGTCACAAAAAGATACAGTTTCATGACTTTTAAAAAACCTTTTTTTTCTTACAAAAAGTTATTTTCAAAAGTTATTTTTTAATTTTCCAAACATCTTTTGAATATTTTAACTTTTTCAAAAAGTTAAAAGTTTTTAATTAAGAAACCTTTAAGAGTGGAAATTACAAAAAAATTATTTTAGGAAATGATAGTTGGTGTGGCTTTGTATCAGTTTTTTTCTTTGTTTTATTGGATGATTGCTGCATTCTTTTCCAGATGATTAGTTTTTTTTGGCTGTATACCAAAAGCAATAATATGGTGTATTCTTGGTTATTTCCGAGTTCTGCACTTTTGAATTGCTTAGGGGATAATTTGGCTATTAAAGTATGCTTATCTCTTCTTATATTGTAGGTCTTATCTTTTAGAGGTTGGTAAATAAATCCCCATTGATGGGATGGGACATGTGTGTGGGTCCCGCCACACACATATGTCACATCATTGGAGTTCATTTAAGATACCCCGTTAGAAATGTTTTTGCTAAACCGGTTTACTAAATTTGTTTTGATCAGCAATTAATGGGGCTGCTTTCGGACCTGTAGAAATTGCTTACTGATACATAATTTGAGACTAGAGTAGAGAAATGGAGGATAGCATATGACGTATATATGAGGTAATACCTAAAATCTAAAATTTGCAAGTAATTCTCAAAATAATAGATTATCGGAAACATTATCATAATTGTCATATGGTAAAACAATCACATTAGACTACGTAACCATTAAAATCATCGCGTGGATCATTGTCTTTATACTAGGTTAATTATGATTCCAAGCATCTAATTATCTTTCATAGATATACATTTTTAGATTATTTTTTATTATAATAAAGGTACTGGCAATGTGTCAGTCTTGTAAATGTTTCTACATATACGCTACTGAAGATGTTCACAATAAATAGCATTTGTATTACTTCACTTGAATATCTGCTTGTGATGTACATATATGTTTCTTACAAAAGCTCTTATTTGACTAGATTTTAGCAAAGAACCCCAAAATGTTTCTTAGGAGGCAGAGGAAAATGTAAGTTGTTTATTTAATGCTTCTTGTATATATTCAATCATTTTATTTGTGTGCTTCAAATGTTAGAATTTGGTATAATGGTGTCAGTAGTTATGGTAATAGCATCCTAGTTTTTTTGGTGTTTAGTTGCAAGTTTTCAAACATCCTTTGGTTTTCACATATTATTAATAAACCATGCTCTTTCTTAAATTTTGCTAATTTTAGTTATGAGGGAAAGTAGTAATGTTTGTTTTTTGGTGCTATATGTTATACTCTGATTTTTATTGCTTGTTTGATCGTGCTTGCTATAAATTGTTTCTAATACTGAGTGGTGTCTTCTTATGAGCTAAACTTGGATGCCCTTTATATAATATATTGGTTCTTTGGAGTTGCAAGTGTTTTTATCACCGGAACTGCTCATAAAGTGATTAATATTGACAATAGTGCTGGAGTTCATGAAGTTCTAACTTCTAAGCCTTGCAATGTTGTTTTAGACACATTACTGTGCTATCTTAGTTTGTTTGAGTTCACACATCTATCACATAAGTTTACATTGAAAATGTGGCTCAGAACTTGTTAAGTTGTTGGCAACAACTTATTTAAAAATCCTTGTCTACTAAATTATTAATAGTATTAAGTTCATACCTGAGAGTCATTACAATTAATTATCAAAAGTAGATGGAGGGGACTTGGTTGAAATTTTAGTGTTTTTTTTTACTGTGTACTCGTTTTAATTCGTTACTCAACCAGTTTGTCTGAAACTGTTGTAACTGTTGGGATATATTCATATCTTTTTATGATATCAACATAAAAGTAAACTGATGTTGGTTTTGAAAGTGTGTTTGGTGCCTCTTTGGATGGAACTGTCGTGCAACTACGTATATTTATACATGAAGTCGAGATTTACAGTATGAAAAAAGGTTCCTGGGAGTCGATCACACTGAAAGGTTTCCATCACATTTGAATATCGTTGACGATTACGTTTGTGTTGATGGCCATGATGGCCATCTTCATTGGCATGGTTATATCAGTGGGATGATTTATTCGGAAAGGATTGTGGCATTTGATTTGTGTTCAGAGACATTCAGTGAGATACCTCTTCCAGATTCTATACTACATGATGGCCGTCACCGTGGAAATGTTTTAGGAGTTTTGTCCGAGAAGCTTTGTGTGAGGTCATTTTCCAGGTTTGATACATTTGAGGTGTGGGTGATGGATGAGTATGTGCTGGCTGAGTCATGGGTGAAAAGCGATGTCTTTTCACAGTTTATTGGTGATATATATCCATATGGATTCACATCACACAGTGAGTTACTTATTGATTTTAACGCTTGTCTAGACTTTTATGATCCATTTATAAACGAGCAGAAAATCTTGGAGGATCATTGTCTTGAAAGAGATTATGTAGATAAAATTATGGAGTATGTGGACAGTCTTGTTTGGGTAGCACCTGCTGAGCATGAGATGGTGAATGGTGGAGGACAAAATTGAAATGGAGAGACTTCAAGTATGATGCAGTGTTTCATAATTAGGTTAAAGTAAAGGATCCATTTTTAATGCATTGCATCTATGCTCTCTCTTGTCGTGGTTCAATTTGATTTTCTGAGGCAGACACTTGTTACCTTGTTTAACATATGGACACTTCTGTTCAAATTCAGAAGATGTCTAAACTTTTAGCTATGCAAGGAGTCTTTTACTAAGAAACTACTTTACTGTTTTTGAATGTATAGCTATCGATCTTTGTTATGTAAAAGCAGTACCTTGTAAAATCTTTAAAGGTTTGTGGATTCTATGTCTCTGGATTGTTTTTGATATCTCAGGTTGTTGCATCTTAATTTGTTGCATTTGAGTTCTTGTTTTGGATATGGGAAGATGACACCAAACAGTAACCAACTTTCCTAATTATGGAAAAGGTTGTAAGTACAAGGTAAATTAACATTTTTTTTTTCGGTTTGGCATAATGTCGTACTTTGGAAAGAGGTTTTCATTAACATGTGATGCTTTTGTGTGTGATTGCTTGAATCAATATAAACTTTTGCCTTCTTTTCTTGTGGATTCAAATTTGTTGGCCATGTCTAGAGTCTTGTTTGGGACCAAAAACTATTTGCATTTCGGTTCATATTTCTTTTAGGAATACAGGGATTAACCATCAAAACAATGACGTTGTCCCTTTTTAGTGCTTGGTTCTGTCCAATTTTCCTAGTATTTTTGTTCCGAAAACTATCACTATTTGGTTAGTTAAGTAGGGAATAGTAGATGTCTTATCTCCCAACTTAAAAATGGTCTACTATGAGATAGAGAGTAGAGTTAGAATCAAGATTTAAATGGGGTTTTTATGCTTCATATGGGCATATATTTTTACTCTATCGCTGCGGTTACACCATGTTTAGATGTTTGGGTTTTCAACTAAATCATATTGTTGTGATATTTTAAAGATGGTTTGATTGAGGTCGTTGATGGGTTCCTTGCAAGTTCCGTCTCCTTATATCACAGTGCAAAAGAGAGATGATCGTTAGTCGACGTCCGGGAGGAATTCCCGGGACGAAGCTCTGACGATCAAGTTAGAATGAGATCTGAGAGAAGTAAGAGTAAATCACAGGAAAAAGAGTTTGTCCCCTTCTTCGTGAGGAAGAAGGATCCTTTTATACCTGTTTGAGAGGTGTGTGCCCCTCAACTGATTCTGTTGAGCATTCCCTCGTGAGCTGCGACGTGGCGGACCCATATTGGAGGATCCTCCGTCACGCCTTTTTGCCTCCTTCCCTCGTTGGCTAGAGGGGAATCTTTTGATATTATGATGACCGTGGCTATCATCAGATGGGCAAATGGAACACTCTGATTGGTCCCACATTTGCCGGGGTGTTATTCCTTGGAGAAGAGGTTAAGGCATGGTTCTGCACCTTAACCGTCATGCCAGTGAACTTTGCATTGGCGAAGGCCCAACCTTGGCCTCGGTCTGAGTCTAACCAGGCTTTGACCCGGCCAAGCCCGACGTTAGTTAGACTTCTCCTTTTTTGTCGTTCTCCCTGAGAGATACGTTAACAAGTCCCTTAGGTTTGTATAGGTTTGTTGGTGTATGCGTCGGCTTGACAACGTCGCCGTTCGAGCCTATATATTAACATGTGTATGTCTGAGATTATTTCTAGCATATGACAGGCTTTAGACAGCGCCGTCAATGTGTGTCAGATCCATCGAGGGACGGTTCGTGACACCAGTTTTGCCTTTAAAATCTCCCCTTTTTCCAAGACCTTTCATCCTCACCTTCTTTCTTTGCTTTCGTTGCATCAATCCGAGCATTTTGCAAATTTTTCTTTTCTTATCATCCATCTTTTTTCGACAATGGACCGTTACGGTAGAGTCCCTACTGCAGAGGAGTTTCGATTTCTGCAAGATCGCTTCGGTTTCTTACTGGAACATGGTGTGATGATTTCGGCAAAGGGGTTATCGATCTACGACTGTCCTCCAGAGATATTGGGAGTTCCGATCCCTCTATTCGAAGCGGGGTTGGGCCTGCCGACATCAGATTTTTTTGACATGATTGTGGACCACTATAGCTTTTCCATTAATGAGTTGACCCCAAGCGTTGTTAATAAGATCGTAGGTTTTGAACTGATTTGTCGATCTCTGGGTTGTATACCCACTTTTTGGATTTTCAGTTACTTTTTCTATTCAACTACAAATTCTGGCGTCCGCACTCTAGCGAAAAGGCGGGGCATTCACCAGTTGATCTCTGAACAAGATGCTCTAAAGAAAAAATGGCAGAGGCAATGGCTCTGGGTTAACCGAGACCTTGTGGGGCGTGGGTTTCGTAAAACACGAGACTTTCCTGACCGTCTTCCCAAACTATTTGGGAGTAACCTAACTCTTGGCAAACGGCTTAGAAACGTCACTGTCGTTGGGGAGAACTGGGAAGATTCCATTCTTGCCACGGCCGGTATGAGTGCCGCCTGGAGAGCTCGCGGGAAGATGGCACAGTTATTCGTCGTGAGATGTGATATTCACTCATCTCCTCCCCCCTCCTTTTTTTTCAAAAATAAAAGAGAATAGGAACAGGGTTTCTTGTTGTCTTATGTGTTCTTATACTTGGCGTTTATTTGCACATGTGCTAAAGCCGAAATTTCCTTGGAGATGAATCTGCGTGGTCACTATCAAGGTAAGCTTTGCCATCGGGAGATCAATCTTATGGAGGCTCTCCCCCTCCTATGTCTGAAAGGCGCATACGAGAGTTCGCTGGATTGTTCTCAACAGAAGGGAGAAATACTGGTTCTAGCGGGCATGCGCCTTCTCAACCGACTGTTGGGGTCGTTTCTCCAGTTCGTTTACTAGTTTCGGCTTCTTCCGGTTTGCCTGCGGGGGTACAAGCAGAAAAAGGTATTGCCCCTATTCGGAAAAGACGAAGTTTACGTGTGGTGCCGTCGTCGGACGAGGAGACTGAATCCGATGACACGAGCCTCCGTCCTCGTAAAGTGTGTAAGACTGTGTCCGTGACCAAACTTCTTGATGGTATCAGAGATGTTCTTGGTGATAAGTTTTCTGTGCCTGGGCAGAAGGAGAGAGTGGTGGTGTCTAGTTCTTCGATGACACCACCTTCTCCACTGACTGGTTCACTCGCAGTTGATCCTGGCTTCGGCTTTGTGTTTGGGGGTGCACTGGGTTCTTTCCAACTGGAGAAGCCTTCCTCAGTTGACGAAATGGGAACTTTGTCTCACTCCTTGTCTTTCGAGGCCTATACTCCGGGCTGAGCGATCACTGGGGATTCTTTGCTGTCGAAAGACATCACATCCCAGGAGTGGAGCAACTGTGCTCACCCTCCGGCTACAATGGATTTTCTTGCAGGCCAATCGAACGCTCGTATGGCCGGTGACCTTCGTTATGCCGTAGCTCAAGCTTCTGCCCTCATGGTTGTTGCTGCCGACCGGTTTTGCCGCGCCGACGTGAATGAAACACAATTAAAAATTTTACAAGGGGCCGTGGAAAGCATAATGGAGGAGCTTCGGGATTCAGAGGGTGAGTGTCAAGTACTTTCTTAGCAGAATTGCATTGTGGCTCAAGCAGAATTGCATTGTGGCCTGTAAGAAGGCCGCCTTGGAAGATCATGTGGCCACTTTGGAGCTTCAAACAGAGTGACTCGAAAGTCAGGTGAGTTCTCTTACTCGGTAGAAGGGTGTGTTAGCGAGCGAGTTGGCTAGGTGCCAACGTCAACTGGCCCGGGCCCGGGTTGATGGTGCTGTTGCTCGAGGCGGTTTACAATGGATGCTGGAGAAGGGAGTGACTTGCGTAATTGATGAAGTTATCGAGAGCACAGAGTTTGCCAGCGGGATCCAAGGTGTCCATAAGGCGTGTGAGGCCCTTGGGTTTGAGAAGGGAAGGCAGGTAGGTGGTTGTTCCGCTATTTTCGGTGAATCCGAAGCCCCGAATCCTGGCCGTGTCGCGAGAAGGGCTGAAGAGTTGGATATTGCTCTTACGTCCCTTGCTGAGACGGATTGTGCGGGCCTTTTTCGTCTGGGGGAGCTAGATTATGATAGCTTCCGCCAGTTTTGTCGTAGGCCGGGTCCGGGACGCTCTTCCTCGGACTTCGTGGACTAATTTTCGTTTGTCCCTCTTGTTAATTATGTAATGTATTTGCATCCCCATATACTATATGTGTAGGAAAAAATGTTGGTTGTTAATAACCATGAACTATGTATTTTGTATGGAAGTGTTCTCTTCCTTTTTTTTGTATATATATATATATATATATATATATATATATATATATATTGAATTGACCTGTGATATCTTTATGGTAGGGTTATTTGATGTTTATACTGTGATTCTTTTCCGCACACTCCCTTGTTCAAGGGTTCACATGAATCAGTTAATGTGTGCTTCAGACGTCATATAACCGCTACTTTTGACTCATATTGCGATGATTTGTATGTTGTAATTAGGATTTTTTTTTATGTCGAGTCAGGAAATGTTGACTAATTTCCTTGACTATACGTTGAAGTTTAGCTACCTGTATACTGGCCGAGATCGTCACCTCAAGACCTTTTACTGTTTAATTGTAAGGGGAAATGGTATGAATCTTTTATAAACCCTTTTTCTATGCCATTAGTTGGGATTTATACATTCTCGGCTCTGAGATGTTATTGGCACATTGTAGGTAAAGATTATGACTCTTTTAAGACCTACAGTTGCATCCTTGCATAGATTTTGCTCAAGTAGCGTAGGTGATCAGCCATTGTTGCTACTTGGAAAATATGCACAACCTCTTAACTTTGCGTTTTTGCAATTGGTTAAACAGAATTCTGGAAAGCTCTTATGAAATGCAAGTTATATTAACTCTTAAAAAGAAAAAAGCAAAAGAAGTAAAACACGAAACAACTGAATCTGAATGTCTAAGTATCAGGGCGCATGCCCAGTTTTTGCGTTAGCACCTGGAGTATGGTTATCCTATGTGGAGTTTGACCATACTCCTTTTTCTCGGCATCCGCTTTATTTTTCATTGAGTG